CACGTGCCTGCCTCGTGCTCCGTGCAGTACCACTAATGGCCGCCACGTACGTCCCGTTCTTGGGCTACACGCTATGCAAATGTGCTGCTTGCACTCATGATATACTGCTTACTACTTACAGCTTTGCTTTTTTCTTCCAGTCGGCCAGTTGAGCTACTTTGTTGTGGCTCTGGTGCACAGCTCCGTAGCTGCAGTCTCGTCGATTTGATTCGTTTCTCTCGAATCCGCTGGCCCTTTGTGTCAGGCTGTGATGCGCGTTTTTGGACGTCGACTCGCTCGTCGCGTGTGTGGCTCTCGACACTCACTTTTCGCCTGCACTTCCCGATTTATCCTCGTTGCCAATGTAATATACGTGGGATCAATGACTAAGTGAGGGAGGGTTACTGTAGAAGAACACCTTTTGGTTTTATTACTGAGCTACCAGTCCCGGACTACCTTGTCGCCTGGACTCCTTACATGTAACTGCCGTCGTCTCGCATGCTCTGCTCACGCGTATTCACGCATACTTACGTGCGCTCGCTCACTCATACGCGTACTCATGCGTCCTCTCATACATTCGCTATTTACATACATTACAGAACCATTAAAATATTTATATTGTCGCTCAAGCTAACTGCTACAACGTCGAAATTTTTTGCAGCGTTATGGTAATTATTTTGATGGCCCAGCATCAAGTTATTTTCAGACCGTGTCTGCATATATAATATAAATATATGCATATATAATATAATATAAATATAAATATGTATATATACAGGGTGGTCTAAAAGTCCCGGAACGGTTGAATATCCCGAGAAATTGTGGGTGGATCGGAAAACGGAAAAATACGTATTTCCTATTTTTGAAAGAGCTATCGAATGATACCAAAATTGACCCTCCCACCCCTGTGGGTGGGGCGGGGGACAACTTTAAAATCTAAAATGGGAACCCCCACTTTTTATAACAGATTCGCATTCCACGTTAAAAAGTACGTAAGTTTTGTCTGAAACATTTTTATTTGCCTCCCCTTTCCCTCCCCTTCTCCACCCCACCTGCTCTCTCTCCTCACCTCCTTCCCCGCACTTACAACTTACCACCTTCTGTCATATATACTGATGAAATGTAGCGACACAACATGGGTTTGCGACTTTCCACGTGAAGCGAGATCCACTCCACACCTCTGACATAGGGTGGGTAGGGTTATTTTTAGCGAAGTGGAGCCCCCCCGTAGGGGGGGCGGAACATACT